CTGTCCCTTTAGCTTTCAATCTGCCCTTTGAGTATCAGATTTACTAAGCCTTCTTTCCTTATTATATACCACGGAAATTTCAACTGTCTATTTCTCTTATATATATGTCCTTTTTGTTTCCATATTCGCTAAAACTTCGTCGTTGCTCACATGTTCGTTTCATCATATTCTCAGCATACTTCTGTAGAGCCACATCTGTTTTGCTTCAAGCCTCTTCTTCATCTCTCAGGGAACTGTCCTGCATCCATTACCGTATAGGAGAACTGATATTACGTAATAGGTCAGTACACTTTTCTTGATTCTTAACGAATTTGTTTTTTGTTTCTTAATAAAAATAAAAAACCAAATACCAAATAGAAAAAAAGATAGGGGCAATATACTGATTTGATCATACCCGCAAATTGAAACAACCTTACGCATTTATAAATCTACCATTCGTCCGTGAATTGAATACTGCTGCCATGTCTAGTCTGGTGATCCTGCTATTCATCTCAAGGTTCTTGACAAAATCCAAAGAAGGATCTGTAATGTAATCGATCCAGATTTGGTATCTCGACTTCAGGTATTTTCCCATGGCTCTAACGTGACTTCCCTCTGCCTTTTCTAAAAATGATTTTCATGAAAATTGTTCGAATGATCTCTCTCTTCCTTGATTCTTCGACCGCATAAATTTAAATGTATTACTAGATTGGCAGCTAGGTCTCATCAACTTACTGTTGAATTAGCTAGATGTAACCATAAGTTCTATTCTAACAATTTCTTTTCTCATACTTATCGCCTGAGGGAGTATCTTCCTGTATCTTCCTTCCTTGACACCTACAATCTTGAAAAATTTAAATGCAACGTCAGCCGCTATATTCTGTCTTCCTGAAATCTGTTCTTTTATTGTCCTTTCTTTTCATTAACGTCTTCTAATTCTCTTTCACTATCCGTAACCATTTGCATCTTAGTGGCATTATCGACTTTCTTGGAGTGGAATGATTAAAAAACCTCTAAAATATTTATTCTATATATTTTCTCTATTATTTTAATTGTCTTCTAGCTATTCAACAATCTGTTAATGTGAATCTACGATGAAAACAGGATTAGTTTTAATTAGTCGGAAAAACCCAGATCAATTTTAATGAGTAGGAAAAACCCTAAATATTTTTCATGAAACATTATCTGTAAAAATTCTTATCGTATTTATGAATTTGATTAATAGTTTTAAAATAAGCGATACTCCAAGAACTCTTTCATTTATAAATACGGTTTTAGTTCATTATTTACATTATTCGGACTATTGTCCTCATCTTTTTCGCCATATCTATCACAACGTTTCGGCCGTTGTACGCTCCGGCCTTCTTCAAGGACATATGGCACAGTGGATAAAGGCGTTGGTTAGATCCAGTGACAGGTCCCAAAGAGTGTGAGTTCAATACCCGGTTAAGGCAGTGGAGAACGGCCGAAACGTTGTAATAAATATGGCAACAGAGATGAGGACAATAGTCCGAATAATGTAAATAGTGTACATAATGCCTCATCTCAGAAATATAGACAGATACTGAAGGGCCGAAACGTTGTAATAAATATGGCGACAGAGATGAGGACAATAGTCCGAATAATGTAAATAGTGTACATAATGCCTCATCTCAGAAATATAGACAGACGGTTTTAGTTTTCTGTAGAAAAGCTATTCTTTTTTCTTATATATTTTAAATACAAGGTGACTGGAAAGAAATCCCTATTAGAAATTTTTCATAACTTTTGTTAATATCACCATGAAACAAAATACGGTTGTTTAGACATAAAGGCAAAAAATGCATATTTTCCAAACATGAAATACTCAACAACATTTTAATGAATTGGAATATTAACAAATTTTCAATATGATTTCCATTTGTGATACAATCGTTGATACGGTTTGCAAAATTCAGGGTCGCACTTTCCGCCCTCTGTTAAATTGTTGTACATGTTTGATTTTGATATCTCCCATTTGTAATTTGTATGTTGGATTGTTCCTTTTGCTAATGGGTTACTGAAAGTAAAATAGAATAAGAAAACTTTAGTGAGAAGAAAGGACAATAAAAGAACTGGTTTCAGGAAGACAGAGGATGTTGGCGAGATTACATTTAAATTTTTAATGATTGTAAGTAGCAGGTAAGTAAGAAAGCGGAGCAGTGTTCTAAAAATATAAGAGAAGAAACTATTAGAATAGAACTTACGGTTATCTCTATATAAAGCAGAGGATGTTTGTGTGTCTCTTTGTTTTTCTGTCTGTGTGATACATTTTCACTCGAGATCCAGCCAACCGATTTTGACCAAACTTGGTGCATACATTGTACAATGTAAGAGATAGGTTCTTAGCGTAAAAAATCGATAATTTAAAAAAAAATCAATAATCGATAAAGCCGATAAAAATCGATGAATTTAACTTTTTTTCCTCCGAATTCGTTTAAACTCGGTATGTAGGTTACTTACATCATGACGAGCTCAACGATACTTCATTTTTATTTCTATGCCACTGCGTTTAGCGAAAAACCCACGAAAAACGAAAAATCGATTTCAATACAAATCGATTTCAACACAAATTTTAAACTAAAAGCTCCCTCAATTTTCAAACAATCTAATACAAACTTCACTCAATTGTAGCCAACAATAAGTTGATTGTTTAACAATCATTTAACTTGATAATTGAGTCGTACCATATCATGAATAGCATAAATAGCAAAAAATGGGCGACTTTTACTGGTTTCTTTTTTATTTTTCGTCGATCTTTCAACCAATTTTCATCAAACTTAACAATTGCTTTATAAATGTATCCCCTTTTATATCCCTGGTAGCACACTGACAATTTGGATTTCAAAAACTCCAAAATAACTGTGGTCTGAAGTGGGTCCATGTTGCCTCTTTTACCCCTTCATGTCCTCGGCTAGCTTCGATTGAATAAATACAAACTTCTTCTGTTATATCAGTAACTGCATTAATTCAATTTCTTTTAAATGAAAGTACTTTAAAGTAATTGAAGAAGATAGACTCTGTTACATCTAAACATGATGGTCTTTTTGCTCAATTCTAATTTAACGCTTTTTCTGATCGACCAGCTGGGTATGGCTGCTAGTATTTAACTAATTCAACATTAAAATGAGACCTACTAGTATACTGAAATTTATGCGGTGAAGCTATCAAATATGAGAGATCATTAGAAGAATGGCCACGAAAATATTTATAGAAAGGACATAGGAAATCCACATCCTGTCATTGCGAAATTGTCTGAAGATTATATGGCAGGTTAGGACCAATTATAGTGCAGACCTTTCTTTTGATTTTGTTGAGAATCTATCAGGAGCAGCAGACAAGAATATAGCAGCAATATTCAATTCACGGATGAATGGTAGATTTATAAATGCGTAAACAGCATTCTACAAAAAAAAATTACCAACATTCCAAGCAGCAGACCTAGCGATTAATTCATTATAATCATTCTACTTCATGTCATTGGAAAACGTGCGAGCAAGGAGGCGAAATGAGTTCCTTTCTTCCTTTCATCAGCATGCATGAAAAGAAAGAAAAGGTTCTCTGTGGTGATTAAGATAACAGTTTTGTTCTGGAGGTGTTAACGTTTACCAGCCATTCCTTGTCCCAGTTAACAACTGATTGAGAGTTATTTTCGAGAGCAGTTGCCAAATGTAAAGGTTTAAAAGACGCATTGTTGTGTTACATTGGTTTCCATTAATGGTGTACGTTTTAGTAATTAGTCGTTGCTTTATTTTTCCTCATTTTTTTTTCAATGTCACCTTTTGGGGATCAACTTTTACGGATAGTCAACTCACACACATATTGTTTTTCTTTGTGTTTCTAACTCTTCACCTTTCGTCCTGAGTGGAAACCGCTTTTTTCTTTTTTATGATTCCAGTCTAAAACAATTCACGGTCTTTTAGTTCAGCTGATTATAGCCAGGTTATTGTTTCTTTTCGGATGGTTTATCTCAAATCGAGATCTACACATAAACAGTTTCATCATGTCATTAATACAAAAATAATTCACAGTCATGAATGGGTATCAGCAGTTCTAATTTTAATTTTGCTGCGTCAAGTGAATTATTTAAAATAATTTTTGCGAACACAATCTAGATATTTTAACGGTATTTTTAGATATATTCTCACGATACTTTTCAAATTATCATCATTAAATAATCTTATGCAACTTATTGCGTAAGATTACGTAATGATAATCATAAAAACGACTTGATATTTTAAGAGAAGTTTTTGTTTCTATTAATTTTGGCTGTTTTTTTATTGATTTTATTTAAGCTTTTTATCCAACTTCTGATGTTGAATTGTCTAAATAATGTGAAGTAGGAATAAGAAAATGATTTCTGATGAGACTTCTTATATCCTAGGAGCTCAGCTTTTACAGACAACGCTTTAATCAAATCGGCCGCTGAATCTTCTGGCTAGACATGATAAAAATCTGCTGTCATATTGGCAATTCCGCACTCAAAACATTCGCAATCTGACTACAATGGTGTGGTGAGGGTCTATAATGGTGTGGTGAGGATCTACAATGGTGTGCCTAGGGTCTACAATCGTGTGGCGACGATCTTTAATAGTGTGTTGACGGTCTACAATGGTGTGGTGACGGTCTGTAATGGTGTGGTGACGGTCTACAATGGTGTGACGATACAAAAAACGACAACAAAATTAAGAAAAGACTGCAAAATTAATGATGTAAATATTCAATCCCAAAAGTAAAATAATTTAAAACTTTTAATACTAAAAATAAAGTTCTGGAAAAGAATATTAACTAGCGATTATCTGCTTTAGGAATATATAACTTCTGAAAAATGGGCACGAAAAATGAAAGAAAATGAATGGAAGTAGTAATGTATATAAAACAATATCAGATATGTTTCAGTGGCTGAATTAGGTAAAACGACGTTCATGAAAGACCAGCTTCCCAGATACTGAATGCCTTATTTTTTTCACCCTGTTGGATGTCTAGCCATTTAAGGCACTTTCGGTTACATCACGTTGAAACGCCACTTCTCGTACGATAACTGAAGTTAAGCAAGGTTAAGTCTGCTCAGTACCTAGGTGGGTGACCGTTTGGGAATACCAGGTGATGTAACCTTGGATACGCTCGTGGCGTAATACATAACGCTATGGAGTTTCAATCTCAGTCGGCTTCGTCATATTCACTTGCGTACTAATCTCTCCCCAGATTAGTAGGAATTGTATCAGTAAATCAATATTATCTCCAAAAAGTTCTTATATTCTAAAAATATTTTCTGGCTTTAAATAATCTGCAAAAATTTGATAAGCCGTAAAATAAACAAAGCAAGCATCCCTTATCAGGAAGAGCCTATTCAGTGGCCAACTTCTTGACTATACTGTAGCATGTTACCTGTAACACTCTTTCAGTGACTACTTTCGTTATTTACATTATTCGGAGATATTCAATGACGCATGGCTCAGTGGATAAAGATTTTGGTTAGACCCAGTGACTAAAGCCAAAGAGTTGTGAATTCAGTACCAGCCCACAGCAGCAGTGAACCAAAAAACTTGGAGAGTTGAATTAAAGGGAAATAACCGAGACATCCGGAAGAGGCATGTCACGTGGAACTAGAACAGCCTACCCCGGTGGACGAAATAAAGAGTTCGGTTCGAAATTCCAATCACATGAAGAAGGCTGTGGCGTACAACGGCCGGAACGGTGTGAATATAGCAATGTAGATGAGGATAACAGTCCGAGTAATGTAAATAAAGCGAGTAATCATAATACCTCATCTCAGTGATATAGTGGTCAAAACGTTGTGAATATGGCAATGAAGATGAGGATAACAGTCCAAATAATGCAAATAATCATAATACCTCATCTCAGGGATATAGACAGATATCTTTCAGTGACCTAACAATAAATCAAAGGCTGATTTAATCCGTCAGCAAATGTTTCCTTCATGTTTCAAACACACCACGTACTAAAATATATATATATATGTTGCACCATCTTTTAGTTGGAAGAAGGATATTTGAAGATATTTAAAGTTCTAAAAAAATAAACAAAACAGACTCATATCTTCCAACTTTCACAGTCATGTTTTTGTTAATGAATGCATTTTTGTGTCGGAGATTGCATCATGAAAAAAAAAGAAGTCAGTTCATAAATATTTATTTCAGATGAATCTTTTCATATTTACAATAGCCGTATCTTTTCTTCGTAATGAGGCATTCCTTAGGAATTTGATTCGAGACAAAAAATAGTGATTAAAAATAGAAATGAAGTTAATTTCCGTCTCTGTTCAAAGAGCGATGCGCGGAAAGTTTATGTGAGAAAAAGTGGAACGGTTCATTAAAAGAATTCTTTATTTCTCATCAAGTAGATTGAATTGAATTTTATCTATTCTAACAGGTGGTCGGTCGAGTAACGAATATCGGCAAGGAAAGTGAAATCGACAGGACGAGTTCACATTTCAGACTTGCCCGATGCGTTCACTTTCGTACAAATAGCCTTGGGAAAAGACGTCTTCTTCCAAATAACAGGGCAGACTTGATTGTCTAGACTTATTTGGTAGCCAATCTAGGAGAATGGCTACTCCGAATTCAAAACCATGGAGGAGACATAACACTCTTTCCTAAAATGTCACAGTAATCACAGATAATAAAGAAATTAGATTGACTCGTCATTTACGGCTTATCAACCCTTTTCAGGTAATATACATCCAGAAAATATTTTTATACTGAAATAATTTTTTTTTACAGATATAATGATTTAGTCATATAAGTCTTACTAATTAATCCATAGCTGGGTGAGAAGAGCTGGATTCATACCTCTCCGAAGGGTATTTATGCGTAAGTAAATATAACGAATCCAACTGAGATTGGAACTCGGCTCTCTGATTTCCAATTCCGAGGTATGTATACATATACAAATGGTAGCTGTATGTATGTGTCTGTATGTGTGTGTATATGTGCGTGTATGTGTGTGTGTGTTCGGCTTAACACTAAGAAAAACTACAATAGTTATGACAAAGTAAATATGTATACAGACTTATTATCACCGAAGCCAGCTTTTTGTAAAAAAAAAATTATCATCGTATGATTTGTATTGACGAAGATATTTTAAAATTAAAATGCATTCGAAATTCTCAGAATTAAAAAGCGAAATTCTCGAATCGGATTAACATTCGTTTTTACTTTCTTATTCTGCTAAACGCTATCCAAGTATGTATTTTAAAATTTCTATTCTCTTGAATTGATTTTAACATCTGTATTAAACAAATGTGTAGCTTTAAAAAAAAAAGAATATTAAAACAACAATTATTAAATAATTATTGTTCGAAAGAATGAGAATTGCTATAGTTTTGCTTGAAAAATGATCAAATTATATTTTTTTCTAAGCTCTATACTAAACATTAAATCTGTTACGAAAAAAGAACTAAACAAAATGAACACAAAACGATCAGCTTTAAAAAAGGACTCATAACTGGAGAAACCAAATGAAAAAAGAATGTTAAAAACAAATACTTTTTCACACCCAACCCAGTTCTGCGGAATCAGAATCAACGTTGAGTTTAAGCAAGCGAATGAGCCAATTGGAGTAAAGTGCCCTGCAGATTTAAATTTTTCCCACTTGTGACGAATGCAGCTATCGATTTTTTTGCATGCTAGTATGCTAGTTAACATTCGTGTCAGTCAACTGTTGGCTCTCACGCTGGCCAATAGAATCTTCCTGCCTATTCGTGGCAGCCAGCTCTAGGCTCTCACTCTGGCCAGTAGAAAATGGCCGCAAACTGCCGTAGAAGCATGAAAAAAATCGATTATTTCCACTATCGATGGGAGTCGGTCTTGGCCTTCCCGCTAACTTGGAGCATGTGCATGTAAATTTTGGTGCAAAACACACACACACACATCCTGCCTCATATATATATATATATATATATATATATATATATATATAACAGGAGGACAAGCATTCTCTTGAGTTTGAGCATTGGAAGGGATAATAAAGTAATCTAATTTGGTATATGGTCCCTACCTATCCTCGGAAATCCGCTTGTGGAAGGAACTCAAAACCTTGTGGTCATCATCCTTCTTACAGGAACGCTCACCGTATTCTCGTGGCTGAAGATTCGCTTACGCATGTGCCGTCCCTTCTTAATGGTGGAATGATTATTTAGCGGCAAAATTAAAGCTAAAAATTTATTCCTTTATTTTTCATGCAGCTTAGTCTATTCAATCCCTGAAATGTTTTATAAAATATCTCATAAGTCCTTATAGAGTTAGAAAACTGTAACGACGGAATTTCCCGTCATTCGCAGCTTAACTGTTGCAGGGTAGCAAAGGGATATGAATTTCGACAAAAGCCAAATAATTAACGGAAAGCTAATAATATATATATATATATATATATATATATATATATATCCCAAGTATACAATTGGTATATACGGAATGAATTCCAATAACCAACAAATACTATTCTTAAAAGAGTGCTCAATACAAAGTAGAGCAGATATAATTATTTTTTATATAAAAAATTATAACATAAGTATGTTATAAAATCACTACAAAAATAGCCATTTTGTTTCAACACACTCTGTGTCTTATCAAGTGATGATGTTGAAACAAAATGGCTATTTTTGTAGTGATTTTATAACATACTTATGTTATAATTTTTTTTTATAAAAAATAATTATATATATATATATATATATATATGTATATATATATATACAGGGTAGCAATAAAGTCACTATATAGTTACTTACAATAACAATTAAGATAAAGCAATAAATCAACAGTCCCGAAATTTATTATTAAAATGGTTCTGGCTAATTGTGGTTAATTCTGGTTAATTACAATAAAATGCTATGGTAAACAATAGTAAATTAATTACCGATACTGTTTGAACTGATAAGCTACAATTATAAACCAAGTAACTGCATAGTGTCTTTATTACCACCCTGTACACACACACACACACACACACACACACACACACACACACACACACACACACATATATATATATATATATATATATATATATATATATTGTAATTATTTTTTTAAAGATATGATTCCATCGCTGCATAAGAGTTCTCACGTTTCAAAAACAGAAGCTAAAACTTCAAGCGAATTTTGGTTCCAAAATTCGCTTGAAGATGAAACAGAGCTGGGTACTTAAATTCATTTTAATTTTTATAATTAAGTTGAAGTTTTAGCTTCTGTTTTTGAAACATGAGAGCTCTTATGTAGCGATGGAATCATAATTTTTTAAAAATAATTATAATTTAGGCTCTACTTATGTATTGAGCACTGTTTTTTTAAAAATAAAAACAAAAATACTAAAGAACTTCGGATTATTAACCTAATGGTTCTTTCTATTTTTCTATATATTTGCACACACACACACACACACACACACACACACACACACACACACACATATATATATATATATATACTGAGTCAAGTAATTTACACGGTTACATTATATATAACACTTGGTTTGGATCCAATTTATTCTCTTTTTCATATACTTCATCCGTGGGCGATCATCACTCTGCGAGGGTAAATACTAGTTCACAATTTATTCACGTCATAAAACTCACTCTGAATATGATTGAACGATGACTGGACTTAAATGTTTACAAACTGGATGTTCCTATGTGAACACTTTTAGATTTACGATTACATAGAATTAGGTAGCTAGATTTAGTTGACTGAAAAACCGCGTCCCATTTGGCTGGAGAACAAACAACAGATGTCTCTCAACTGCGCACAGCAGGTATTTTCCTCTGAGAAGTTCTGTAGAAAGAAAACATAACATAAAAAACAACACACTCTTCCCATCACACATACTCATGTAGGGTGTATAATTCTTAATATTAATTGATTTCTTTGTTGTTTTTTTTACCACTTATCAACCGTTTGCGGACTATTTATATCTAGCAAATAATTTGGGATTGTAAAATATTTTTTGGATTTAATAATGATATTCTGATAGAAATTCTACTATTTAACACATAGCTGGGGGGGGCTATAGGTAGTGGATTCATACTGTTCCCAATGGTATGTGCGCGTAAGTGAATATAACGAACCCAACTGGAACTCGGCTCTACTATT